AAATCCACCACCTTTGACAAGCCCTTTGGCTTCATTCAGATGTGGCACCAGACAGCCCAGCGACCCAAAACCTGGGGGGATGAGGCAGCCATGCCTATAGGAAAGCCAGAGGGGGACCTCAGCATCTGCCACCCAGTTTCGGCCAGCCAGACTACGTGCAGCCGCTGGGAACGCTGAGGCTTTTGCTGCTGAAATAATCCTGTTGCTGTAACGGCTTAGTTGCTTTGGGTCCCTGCCCTCCCTTTGGGGCTGCTCAGGATCTCTGCACGGAGGGAAATCAGGACAGGAGGGAGCAGTGCCGAAGGGCTTGGAGGGCAGCTCAGGGGGGTCGGGAACCAGTGGCTCCGTCTCCCAGCAGCAGAAGGGGTCTGCAAGAGAGGAATCAGCGACGGTGGAAAGGAGGAAGCCTTTTCATTCACAGCTGTTCCCACGCTGTACCCCAGGTACGACACAAAGCTGAGGTGCAGCTTGCCAAGGCAGGACCCAAGAGCACAGGGCAGAGCAAGCCCAAGTCTTTCCATCGCACAAACTCATTTTGGGGGGGGCACAGCCATCCCCACAGCACTTGGCTGACCCAGCTGCCCTACAGGGCTCAGCTCAGGAGCCCTCCAAGTTCTTGGAGCTTTGCTTTGCACCAGGCATGACACAGTCCTGGGCTGTGCCGGAGAGCCACAGCCAGCACAGGAGGAGCGGGCGATGCTCGAAATACCTGTGGGCTCTGCGGCGGGCACAGCGCCAGGCAAGCTGAGTAAGCACAAACCTCGGGACACAGCTGTTCGCCGGCCGAAAACAAATCAAGAAACAACCCAGCAGCCTGTGACCCCCCCAGCGCAGAGACTGCAGCGCTTGCACCACCGCCGCGACGGCCCCAGTGCGGGCACCAGTCCCATCTGATAAAAACAGATCTGTGCTGCAAGAGAGGGAGGGAACCAGCTCTGACGAAGAAAGGGGACTCATCCTGGCCTTCCCAGGCTGCCCGCCGTGGGATTCTGCGGGGCTTGCCTCCAGCTCCCAGCCTGGCCCGAGCTTTTCCTGTATCAGTGTAAAAAATAAGGGGGTGAAAAGCCTCCCTGGGATGTGTTGCACAGGGAGGGTGAGTGACAGCCAGGAGGCAGCAGGCTTCGGCGATCAGCAAGGGGAGTTTATTCACCGGAGTGGGACTTGCCCCAGCTCCCTGCCCAGCTCTGCCGGGAGCGGGTCACCGCAGGACAAGCCCGGCCAGGACATGCGGAGAAGAGGATATTTGGCTGTGGGAGCCCGGGCTGCGCGGGGCAGGAAGCGAGCACGGCCCAGGCTCTCGCCGCTGACGCACGTCCCCGAGCGGCAAAGGGTGCCCAGGGAGCCCAAAGCTCCCATCACCCAGTGGCACCGCCTCATGCTTTCAGCAGAGCCTGCTCAGTTTGCTTCTGTCCTGGAGGCTTGCTCATGTTTCCTGCCCCAGGAAGTTTTTGATGACTATGTGTAATGCAGAAGCTTACTGCACCTCAGCTTTCCTTAGCCTCGAGTTAGGCCGGTACAAGCTCCGAGAGCAGGCTGCCTGCAAGCACCAAGACACACGATTCCCTCCTCCTCCTCCATCTTCAGCCAACACCCATCCACTGGTTTGTACAAACATGTGACAGTAGTCTGCAGGAAAATCTCACGGGTGTTCCCAGAGGGGGAGTTGGCATGGTTGGAGCCGAAGAGTCCCGTGGGAACACCAAGGCAATGCTGCAATACCCACCGGTCCCTCGGGAACCCCCGTTGTGCCCAGGGGACCTTGTCACTGAGCCACCGCACCACGCTCTCGCTGCCTGTCCCCAGGCGACACACCCCAAGCCGGTCAGGACGCCCGCCTGGTCCTTGCCCTCGGAGCCAATTTCAGCAGCTGAAAACATGCCGTGTAAGCAGCACTGCTCTGCCACGGACTCCAGCGAAAACAGACTTCAAGGATTATCAGCATCAACACTTAAAGCACGTTGCAAAGAAAAACATCGAGCAGTGGATTGACACTAATGCGCTCTGAATTGTGCTGCACTGTTTGCAACTCCGTTTTTACATGACATGTTCACGACTCCCATAAAACACTCGCCACTTACAGCTGGAAACGTGTGGGATTTGGTGCTCTGGTGTTACAGATGCACACCCACAGCGTGCATTCGATGAAGAGCTCCCTTTGGGCCGTGTTGGCTTTCTACAAATGGATACACATGAGGACCAAGAACCTTTCCAAAGCCCCAAAGCTGGAACTTTGTGAATCCTCTGCCTGCCTGTGTTTTTTCCCCTGAAGAGGCATCAGCAAGGACGTCTCCGAGGTGACCTGCCCGGTGTCCTGCCCCGCACCACTCCTCCTCCCCACACCAGCTGTACCTGGTCCAGGTCTAAAAGCCTGAAGCACTGAGAGCCACACTGATAGGCCTGCTCCTCCTCAGGCACACGTGAGCTTAAGAGACATGGTTTGTGCCCTGTTTCTTTATGGTCTTTAGAAAACCGAAAAACCTCCAGGAGTGATGAAACAGGCACAGCACTGCTTCTTCCTGAACTTTTAAGATTAGAAACATCAGCTCAGCTTACAGGTACTCACCTCTATGTCCAGATAAGTGGGGGGTTCCCCCGCTCTCAGTGGGATGGCAGGAAAGCAAACACGGAGATTTCTGTCTTATGCCAACAGAAATGCTGGCAGGGGGTCTCCCACTGGCACAGGGCCACCCCCAGGACTTACAGCAAGAAAACCCCACTCTGTAAGGAGCGATGTGCTTTTCTTAGCTTCCTCTGGGGTGCGAGGAACAAAGCCAGGTGCCAGTATGTACGGAATTCCTAGGGGTGGCACTGGGGATCTTTAAGTCTCTTCTCAAAATATACATGTGGTCGGCAAACAGAGCTGGAAGTGACCAGTTCCCAGGCGGCTGCGACGCACAGCGAGCCAGCCCGGCTCTGGGGCACGCACAGCCTCTCGCTTGCCACTCACGCTCCAGGCATCCAGGAACGAGGTCTCCTGAATCCAAATCAAAGTCCTTCATTCTTAAGACCACCGTAAGGCACGAACTGAAGAGCCGTCTTCATCAGCTGTTCTGATGGAAGAGAAAGGCTGTGATGGGCAAAGGAGTGAGATTCTCCTAAACCTTGTAAGGTGCAAGCGTTCTCCTCAAACGTGTGGGTAAAATACTGAAATAAGCACCGCTTGTCTTGCTCTGCCATCTGTATTCGGCACAGTGCTACATACCTCCAGTTAAAAAAACAAAACAAACCCACAAACTAAAGACAAATCTTACCCTTAACTCACAAAATGATACACATACACATGTGCAAGTTATCAGAAAAGGCATTATATTTTGGTTTCCACCTTATTCAAAACTGATTTTGGTTTTCAATCAATCAAATCTGAGTACGTCTCAGTTTTCAATTTTTTTTCCCCATAACAGTAATGATCTGGATGACCATAATTATAAAAGGGATGGGGAGAAAACCCGAGAACAAGAGAACAAGATACATAGTCTGAACTGTGCTCTCTTCCACACGAGCACTCTAGGGAATGTTAGTTTCAGCTCTTCGGTTTGTTTTTTGTTGTTGTTGTGTTGTTTGTTTTTTTTTTCCTTCAGGTTGTTACTAACAAAATCTCTACCGTTTATTAAAGCAAAGCTACAGTAAATTTTCTTGCAGTCTTACAGCAGGCTTTCATATTACCAGTAGGACTCGCATGCATGGATTGCAGTCACACACACACGCTCACAGACATTATACAGTAGCCAGTTGCCACCATAAAAAAAAAATAAAAAGAAAACAGACATTCATTTCCTTTAAGTGGTCAACATTAGAATCGCACCGAAATTTTGGATCAAAAAAAAAAAAATACTGCACAGGTCTTCCACATCTACATGGTAAGTCATCCCTTCGCAACGGACGGAGCTCTCGTCTCCATTTGTTCAACATGCATCGCTGAAGCTTGAAGGCACGCTGGCCAAAGAGAGCCCTGTTCTTTTTTTGTCATCTTAACTCGAGTGTGCTGCTCTTGGGTGCAAAAAAAAGGAATAAAATAAAGCCAAGCCCTTTTGCAGCACACCGGGAAAAGGTCATTCGGAGACCACAGTACTTGGAAGGCAGCCCAGCTGCCTGGATTCTACTTCTAACTGTGCTCTTGGAGGCATTGAAGGAATACGCTTGTCTTTAGAAATGACATATAAAGGCAAATTTCTGCAAACCCTTTTTTTTCAAACTGCTTACAGCAGACTAACGCCCCTTCTGGAAGAAACTGGTCCTTCAGACACCAGCTTCAAGTGGGAAATTTCCTACCTGTTGTCTTAAACACTGAAGCACCAGAGATTATAGGGCTGATGTGTTCAGGCATTCATCAGCTTCAGGAAAACTTAACACCAAAAAAAAAAAAAAAAGCTAACGTGAAAAGAAATCCCCAATGCCTCAAGAGCACTATAGCAAACCAGAACTCTTGGGCTACTGACTGCCGGCACTGTCAGAAGCTGCTTGCTTCTGGGAAGACACCTGGAGGTTGAAGCCTTACGGTGATTTCGTATCCTCCCAGGGTGAGATTTGCTGAGCTTTACTGATTGCGAGATAAAGCAGTGTTTCAGAAAACTAAAACCAACAAACTCATAATAACCATCACCAAAATCACCATTGGGAAAATTCCATTTGTTAGAAGGTATCATTGAGAAGCAACAGTCCCTGCCCCACGGAGCAGCACGGACACGATTAACAAAACCCAGTGACCCGTCCCCCACAAGCCGGGCCTCCGAGGACTAGTCCTCGAATTGTGTTGGAGGGGGAGAAAGAAAAATAAACTAAAAAAAGAAAGTTTTATCACCTTTTCCTCCTGTTAAAGTTTTAATTCTCTTATTCCACTTTTATTTCTTTGTTTTTTCCCCCAATTCTCCCTTCCACTCTGCCACCTTAGCTGGGGGAGTTATTGGTACAAGAGTTTGGAGAGTCCTGCTCGTTTATTGTGTTCAAGAGTACACACACCGGCTGTCGGGGCAGGTGGTGGTGGCTGTGTTCGCGGTGCTGCTCTTCCGTGGCATTAAAAAGCCCTTCCTCCTCGTCCCCATGGGGGTGGCCGCTGCAGCTGTCGCAGAAGTCCAGGGGCCCGTCCAGAGCATCATCGATGAGCCCGTCGAACTCCTTGAGGTCGTCGTCATGATGGCCTCGGTTGCATACACAGACTTCGATGCCCGAGTCGCCGGTGAAGCGGCGCTGCCTGCCCGGCGTCTTGTCCTTCGCATCGGGAATGGCGCTGCTCTGCTCCAAGCTCTCAGAGCTGTAACCTTTCAGCAGTTCCTCCTTGCACTCCGTATCCTTATCGGGACCGGCCCTCTCCACTAGCTCGGCTCCCGTGCTGGTACCGCCGGGCTCGACGCTTTGCATTTTGGCAACTGCTCGCTCGACCAGCGTGGCGGTGGAGGGCTCGGGGTCCCCAAGGCCAGGGGCCCCGCTGTTGTCAGTACTGCTGCTATTGCCGCTGGGTGCTGCCGAGCTGCTCTGTGCTGGCTGCAGGTTTCTTGGCGTGTCCGGGATTGTGCTACTGCTGCCTGCTGGGACGCACTGCTGATGTAAGGCACTGTACGGTGGAGGGGGGGTCGGTGGTCGGTTCACCACTTCCTCATAGGGAGGTAGTAAATAATTTGGCAAAAACCCTGAAAGTGGGAGGCAAGAAGGAGAAGTTATTTCACGAACAGCGTATCTCAGGAAACAAGTCATTAAGACAGGTTGGTATGTCATTTGTCATCTGGCAGCACCTTCCCACTGAAGAGCTCAACAGGCTTTACAAGGGGTGCCAGAACTTGGCCCAAATGAGACGTGTCATGTTTTAAGAGAAGCAGCATCCAGGAGGGCACCATCACAGAAGGAGATGGACACAGCTGGGAACAGCAGCCTGACCTCCTGGCTCTCAAGTCTATGCTTAGCTATCAGGCGAACCTCCCCCCACCACCCTGTACCCTGTACCCCAAATACAGTCCCACAAACTCCACCAAGGGATGGCCTGCGTTGGCTGGAGGGAACAACTTGGGAGATAACACTGGCTTCTCAGCTGAGTTTCCACTTTCAAGAGCGAAGATTTAATGTCACAAAGCTTTGTGCAAATAGGAAGAGACATGCAGGGAACTTAAGATCCTGGCTTTTGGTTCTTGTTTTAGTGCTGGATTCAGTTTTTCTGGTGCAGTTAGAATAAACTGGCAGTACTGGCAAGACAGTTTGGTTTATGGTACTTACAGCCCCTTAAATCTATGAAAGATTTTGTTTATTTTCTAAGAGGCAACAAAATAATCTATATAGACAGAATGGACTTAAATACTGGAAATATTTGAAGACAGCACTGCAGTTTTCCATGTGCGATTACATATCCATGGGGCTGGGGAGGAAAAGGCTCCTGGGGACTATTTCTGAGGTGGCCGCAAGAGTTTAATGAGAAAATCAAGTTCATACATGCAATTCAACTGTCCATTACAGGAATCTCAGTTGTGGTACCTTCAGTCAGAAGGCCGAGACTTGCTGTTCTAGCACAGTGTAGCAGGGCATGAAGGAGAGCACAAAGCAGTTGTACTCTTCCTGAGCCGTGGGCAGCAGCTCCTTCATGCGAAGTCGTAGGCCTGCTCACCAGCAGTGTGGTCTGGGAACCACAGCACAGGGTGGGAGCCAGCACGGTCCCTGCTGAGACACCTCTTGTACCCAGCCTGTGTGACCGAATTTCGTGAAGCCACTTCCCACATCTCAGTCCCACCAGCAGCAAGTGCAGGCTGGAAAGGAGGAGCATCTGTAAAGTCCTGAACGAGGTATTTTAAGAACCTTCGCAGAAGGACACCCAGGGAATCACTGCACTCACGAGCCAAATCAAGGGTGGGTGTGAAGGTGCTGTCGCTGGTGGGGTTCAACTGCAGACTCAGGGGGGATCAAATGCATCCAGCAGCTGGAATATGCCACCTCCTCTCTACAAGCCAATGTTAGGCAGCAAAGCTGCCCACCACCTCTTGCAGAGCCCAACCACTGCTCCCTGCTTCCACCCAACACAGGAAACGCGCTGCTGCCCTGCTCCCCGCGACCTCCGGGAAAAACAGTGAGAGACACGTACGGAAGTAAAACGGCAGGGCTGAATAGTTATGGGCTTCCCGGTAAGCGATCAGGTTGATCTCGTGTTGCCGCTGCTGCGCCTGGAGACGATGCTTGGTGCGACGGTGATGGCAAACACAACAGCAGCTGAGGATGATGATGATGGTCCACACCAGCCAAAACCCTGCAGTGAAGGAGAGCAAGTGTTAGCCACAGTGCAAGAGCCACATCCAAACCCAGGAAACCCCAGGAAGGCGACGGAGGAGATGATCAGAAATCCTGCGTCTGAACCCTGCGCTGCTCTACAGGCAGACATTCGCGTTGGGCCAGAGGCTTCGACACAGACCTCCCTGCGTGGGGGACTGCTACTCCGGCAGCCTTGACGGAATCAGGTAACTCTGTACACACTTTGGTACAATGTGGAGTATGTTCGATACGTACAACTCTGGAGGAGAATGAAATATGGAGATGGGACTAAGCTCCCCACACCATCGCTCCCACCCCTTGGGTATCATTTCTTCTAGCCAAAAATATGAGCAGAGCTGTGAATAGCATTGAACTTGTCTCCCACAGCCACTTCAGTTTGAAAATAACAATCAAGACACAAAAGACACTCTGCAGATTGACCACAGAAGAAGAGAAAAACCCCAAGCACTATGTTTTGCTTTTGTTTGCACTGCTCTTTAATTTCCAGCCCAAATCCTTCATTGTTATGTTTAACAAAAACATACTCTTTTTACATAAATGTCTCAAAATATTTTTAAAACTTATTTTTGTATTCAATGTCTTGAATTATCCAAAATTAAATTAAACTAGCCCCCCACTCTGATTCCTCAAGAAACCTAACTTCTGCTCCGTTTGTGGTCACGGCTGGTTTCTGTGCACTGTCGTACCGTACGTACACTGCTCCTTAAAAGGGAATTTTAAAAGAGCACTTCCTGAATTTTCTCCACTCCCTCCCACATGTGGAATAACTCCCTCTTTCCACAAATCCCCCTTCATGCTTGCATGCACTAGAAAAATGTTGCCGAGACACACTTCAAAGAGCTACAACATTCACTCCAGATGAGGCTTTTGTCTCCTGCAACTGCAGCCCACAGCTCTACCTGCCTCAGCGGTGTCTGTAATCCGTCTTTTTTAAACTCAGTTTTTGCAGCTAAGGATACCAGGAGAGCTCCCTCTTTGAAACATGTAGGCCTGGCAAGCGCTCCTCAGCGGAGATCACAACACCGTTTTTCTTTCAGTAAGACGTCTGTCACACTTCATTCCCAAACAGACAAAATGAAGAATCCTAGTGCTACAGCCCATTTTCAGCATGGCCATTTTTTCCTGTGAGATCAAACTGCTTTTTTCTCCCCAGTAAAACCTGCAGTCCTGCCCTTACAATACCTTCATGTTTTCAGCATCCCCTATCGAGTTAAGAGATGTTTTCTCTGCTAAGAGCTGGGTGGGGAAAGGTGAACGGTTTTGGAATTCGAAGAATGAGAAGAGTGTTGCTCTGGCTCAGGACAAAGTGCAGTTGACCCGTATCACCCATCTCAGAGCCGCACATTGGGCTGTTTGTAGGTGAACTGGATATGCCGTATCGTGCCTTCAAGCATTTTAAGCAGGGACTTTCACCTCTCTGTGTCGTAACCCAAATTCTTCATCTATTTTGGCACAGCAAACTGAAGTATCTCTCTTGCCTTGTGCAACCAAGTTCCCTAATGGACTGGATCCCACCTTATACCCAAACTTATCAAAACCTGCTATCAAATGAAGGTGTTACATGCTCCGTTTTTTTCACTTGGCTGGAAATCAAGGTTCCTAGGCAGTTTTTCTAGCCAGCCTGCTCAGCTGTACCACAAAGGGCAGAGAGAAGACTGTGGTCTTCGCTCCAGAGTAGCAAAGCATGAAGCACTCAAGATGCCCTCTGCACTTCCTTCAAACTCAGCTGTGAAAGTGTCCACTGCCCTCCAAACACCCCCCTGCTTCTAAAAAAGCCTTTTTATATAAACTGAAAGGATTGGTTTAGGCCACCCTTCTCTCTAAAGCCAGGTGTTTGCAACCACCCCTGTAGCCACCTCCACTACCAAAACCCTGCCACGCAAACCCAACACACACTGTCTCACAGTTCGAAGAGTCCCACCAATACACTTTATTTCTTGCTAAGAGAAGGTCCCCTGGCTCTTGCTTAGCTGAGGAAGCAAGAATACACTCATCAAAACCAGGTCACTGGCACAGCACACCACCATGCACTGAAGCAGGCCTGCAGTTCATCCTCTTAGTACTCTGTATTTTCGAAGAGCAGTCTGGTGATCATGTGTTCAAAAACAATGGAAAATTACACCCAGCTATCCAGGGATTTCAGCTGCAGTTATGAAAACAGATGCTTTTTAACACATTTGATCATGTCCTTTCCCAAGGACTCTAGATGCAATGGTAGCAAGCAGCACTTAGTTAGTTAAGATGTCCTGGAGAACTGCCACCATTAAGCAATCTCAGCTGTAGCAGCCGAATTTTTCTGCAGGGAATAGCTGCTCCCACCCAAGCCTGAATCCAGAAGATTAAAAAAGTATTTCTTTAGAAAACTTCTCTACCATTCCAAAGAAATCCCAAAGTGCTTTGCAGACAAACCAATGCACAAGCTCAGGGTAGGGGTCAAAGTAAGCTCAGCCATTCCCGGGAAGATGTGCGGCAGCTCTGTAAACAACAGGCAGTAACAACATAAAACAGTTTAGGATAATAAATTAATGTTGGGTCTTACTGAAACCACAGGTGGCATTTTAAGTAAACAGACCATAATTTACTGGATTGCAATCTGGTGGTGGTGCCAGGAACAACACCTCCATTCTCGTGCAAAGGGTCTGTGCACGCTCACAACCACAAGTGGATGAGATCTGTCGTTTTTAATGGGAATTTCCAGAAGAAAACCCCACTAATACCACGTTACTGCCTGGTTTCATTAACTGCTGACACTTCCTAGAGCTTCTAGGAATTAGTCAACCCTTGACTCAGCATGAGTCCAAGGACTTGCCTGGATGAGCACAGGAGATCAGCAGCATGTGTCCACCACAGCTATTTGCTGTCCTGGCTTCTGGTGTCCTCTTTAATGGCTTTGTCCCCATGTTGTCATGCAACAGCACATCTGTGGCACAGGGCTGAAAGCCCCTCCCCAGTGCATAGGAAGCAATAGGATGGGACACCTACAAGTGCTGAGGCACAGGAGGGGCTCCTTGGCTGTCACTCGAGCAGGGGTGCCAGCACCAAGAGAAGGATTGGGTGCAGCTCTAGTTGCAAGTCCAGCATGGTGCTGGGAGTCCAGAGCCTCCAAAACGGCTCTACAACATGCCCTAGCCAGAAGTTTGGGCACAGTTGCGATTTTAGCTGCAGAACAGAAAACCAGTAAAAGCCTAGCAAATATATATACTACAGTCATTTCTTTGGAATAAAGCTATGTGTACAAGGCCAAGTGCGATTGTAAATATTATGTCTAAAAGTATGGAGCGAACAGTGAATATGTCCAGGGCTGAGCTGCGCATCTGTACACCTGGTGATGCTTGGATTCAAACCAGCAGCAGGGAGGTAAGCTGAGCAGATGACTGGCCCGTGCACGCAGTGGCTCATTTGGCAGGAGGGGAAGGAGGGCAATTTCAAATTCACCCAGAGACAACACTACACGAGCAGGAAACGCAGAGGCTTAGCACACTAGCAGTACCTGCTAACACCTTGTTCATGGCAAAAGCAGGTACCGTCATGCTGAAAATGAGCGAGATGCACAAAGGCAACAGAAGTTTGGCTTTAAAAGGCCTCTAAAAGCCAAGTAAGTCTGGGCTTCTAGTTGCCTTCGCTGTCGCCAAATCTCTTCAACATGTGCCTCCTTCCCAAATAGACACGAGCTGGTTTTCAGCTGCATTGTGCTGAGCTATCATTGCAGTCACTGGAAAAGGAGAAAAGGTTGGGAGACACTGGGCATCCTGAGCAGAGTTTGCATTAAATGTCTGGTTTAAGAGAATTTCCCACTGCCAACCTGGCAGTGAGCACTGAGAACAAAAGCTCGTGGCAACCCGAGGGCAATATGACAGGCAGAAAGCAAACAGGGTCTGGAAAAACAAGCGCTGATGGACAGCACCGACAGAAGAGATGCATGAGTTTGGAGCTAAACATGCACCAGGAGACTGTCAGACTTGCAGGCAATTTCAGGCTTGGTTTATGGAAGAGTAAGAAGTTGGAACACTCTCCAGTTCAAAAAAGACTGAGTCCTGAGAAACACTGCTATATTTTCTGTCAGATTCACTGGTGATGCCAAGGTGGATAATGATACAACCAAAGGGTGAATCAGACACAACCAAGGAGCTGAGTTTTGTCAAGAGATTTCCCTGCCAGAACATCAAAACCTTTCACAGAAATAAGAAAGAAATACCAACCTCTTACCCAGCATCAGACAGGCTCAGAGGGGTAAGCTCTACAGGAGCGCCAAGCTCAGAGAGTCAGCATGGGAGCTGCGGAAAGACCTGGGAACAGACTTGGCTCCCACGAAAGCCATCTCTCGCAAGCAGAGGAAACACCAAAAAAAAGAGAAGTCTGCTACATTTACAGCGTCCTGGTCATGCACCAGAGATGTTTTCTACCAGCTGTGAATGAGTATGTCGGGCTTAAAGCTTCAAGAAAAGCCTTTCTGGGACACTGACCATAGTCTTGCTCAAACCTAAGAATAATTAAGAATAAATAATTTAAGAATAAAAAACCAGAGCATTCCCTCCTCATGAAAAAGGGGGGAGCAACGCTCAGTCTTATGCTGTACTGTATTTGCTGCCTGGGATGTTGCCATCAGCATTCCCGTTGAGGGAAGCTCCTTTTATCCTGTGCAAAATGGAAAACGTTTTCTGGAGCGTTCCATGGGTAGGAACAGAGAAATCTGCCCTCAAGTTCATGGTAAACTTGGGCAAATGCCATCGCTCTGTTGGCAGGAAGTCCCCTAAAAGCAAGCCAAAACATACTGCAAAGTGTTTTTGTGTCTGCCTGACAAGCATCTGGGTAATAGCTTTGGCTCCATGAGACCTAGTTCTGAACAGAAGGAAAAGTGGGACAATTTCATTGACTAAAAAATTATGTCCCAAATGGTGGCCTCACAGTCAGCCATGGATGAAAAAAAATTGTCTTTCACAGGGCCAACACTATCATCAAAAATAGGAGAGAGATTTA